GCCCCAGAAATACCTTTTTCTACATGTTCTCTAAAATCAGGGTCTGCCCTGTCAGCTGCAAAACCACCTTTGGAAGTATCTGGAAGGTAGAATGTCCACTGGGTATAGGCTTAGGGAAAGTATAGACTGAGAAATCCATATAGAATGCATGTATATACACACATACCCATTTATGATTTTTTAATTAAAAATTAAATCATATCCTTTAATGGATATTTGACAGATATAGGAAAATATAAAAAAGAAAATAAAAATCTCCTATAAACTTACCATTCATATATGGCCACAGTCAAAGCATTTTTCTTTCTTTTTTTTTTTTCGGAAAGGATTTTGTTATAGAGCGTGTGTGTTCGCCAGAAAGACAGAGAGAGACAGAGAGACAGAAAGTGAGAAATCACCCCCTGGGGAAGATGGTCATGCCACAATCCCTTCTCCTCCATTCTCCTCTCAGGATTTTGGGCATGCATGCACGCGTACCCAGTGTGAGTTTAAGCCACCGGGCCCGGTACTTGAACCACAGTTGACTACATGGGAGTTCAGCAACATAGCCATGACTCCAACTGCTGGTCCCCAGTCAAAGCATTTTTAAAATATTGAAAACCTAATTCTCACACAAATCTCAAATAAGCATATGTTAAAGGTATATTTAACTCATTTATGAGGGAAATGATAAAATTGAATGACGCAATTTGAGAGACTACGTATATGGGCATTGAAAGAAATGGTGAAAGAGGCCCAGCCATAGTGGTGTAAGTGATAGATACATCTGTGCAATGCTGGAGCCATATGGGGAACTTCGGGCTCGAATCCCGGGTCAACCTGAACATGCCTACAGGCACACCCGTGAGCCTGGCTGGCTGGGAATTGGATTGCCGTGTGATGAGACCCTTCCTTTCCTGCTGCAGACGGGTGGCTGTTGGTCCAAGCAGTTTACCAGATCACTGAAAAGAGCCGTTATTTGGAAAAACTGCCTGGTGTTTATCCTCAGGGTCACCAGGAAACAACCTCAAGTGACAGCATTCACTGTGTAACTGGTTACATGAAATCACAGAATATAGGAACTAAGACTCCTTAAGGATCTTTGCTTGTGTTGTGCCATTTGCCTGAATGGAAGGAGATAAAACTTACCCTTATCCAACCTCCAAATTCATAGGGTTCCAGATAGGTAGAAAATGCTCCTCTTAGTTTAAAATATTCTTTTAGTGGAAAAGTATGGGCCTAATTGTATCCTTATTTTGAAACTTCAGAAATTAAAGCTTAAAACAAACAAAAAGTCTTGTTCAAAGTTACTTATCGCAAGATTGAGACTTGAACTCATGACTCCCAGTTTCCTTGATTGGACACTCATTCAGACACCCAGACTAGGGTCAGCACTGTGCCCCTGCTTAAAGAGAGACCTACACAGCTCCTTAAGTGTTAAGATGACATTGGTTAGAGCACAAGGACTTCCATGTCCCAATAATGGAGAGTTTTACCCTCAGTGGCCTGTCACTCAGATCTATTTTATATAGTATTTAAAATTTCTCAGAAAAGCAGTTTCCTATATACTAGCTGTCATATAATCAACCTTTACTTATGGCCCATTCCCCACCCTGCCTCATCTTCATCACACCTACTCTCTTTAGGATCATATAGCTGAACAATGAAGAAAAAGAAAAATCCAGTTTAGGCTGAATACAGACTTACCTCATAGAGAGTAGGGAAGAAATATTTCTTAGTGGATGTTTCTGATGCATAAACATTTCTTCCTGATCAATTTTGCTTTATTTTTATGAACAAAGGAAGAGACACTTGGTCTTACTAATTACAGGAGAAACTGAAATTAAAGCGACAATGAAATGCCATTTTTAACCAATCCAAATGGCAAAAACACAAAGGTTTAACAACTTATGCATTTGGCAAAGTGTGAGAAAACAGGTACTCTTACTTTGATGATGGGAGGATAAACTGGAACAACTTTTATGAATAGAATTTAGCAATATCTATAAAAATTCCTAATGTGCATACTCTTTAATCAGTAATCTCACTCTGGGAATTTATTCTGCAGCTTAGTTTATACACTTGCAAAATAATGTGTTGTCAAAGCTATTATTTGTAGGGGCCAACTGGTGGTTTGTTGGTTAAGACATTGGAATCCCACATAGTCCACCTGCACAATTTGAGTCCTGCACCCAGCTGCTTGAAAATCACACTGGGCGCATATGTGTGCATTTTCAAAATTCCAAGAGAACATGAAAAATAAGGAATTGCAGTGTGGTTGGGAATGACTTCCATTTCTCTCTTTCTCTGTCTCTCTCTGATGAGCACATGCACTCTACAACAAAACAGAAACAAACAAAAAAATGAGTTATTATTTGTAGTATTATTTGCAATAGAGAAGTACTAGAAATAACTCAAGTGCCCACCATCTGTACAATGGAATTCTATGTAGCTGTATATATAGAAGAAAGACTGAGGTTGTTTTTTGTGCACAGATAGAGAAAGATTTATAAGTTATACTGATAAGTGAAAGGCAAAATGCTGAGAAGTATTTGCACAGAATAGGAAGTGTAATACCATAGATCTTATTGACTTGTATTTGCTTAGAATACTCTGAAAAGATACACAAGAAGCCAATATTGGTGGTCACTGTGGAGGGAGTGGGTGGACACAAGACAGAGGGACAGGGGTGGGGGCAAATTGGGACAAAACTCTCCACCAAATACATTCTGATTCTGTCCCATTTTTAAACCATTTGAATGTGCTATCTAATTTTTTTTAAGAAATTTTAAGAATAACCTTGACAAATCCCCTAAATCTTTCATAAAGTACAAGACATAAGTAGACTAAAGTTTGAGAACAACTTGAGTAAAATAAGGAAAAAAGGTTAAGTTTCTATGCAGATGTGAGTATTGAAATCATTCCCCACTAACAGATCCATCTGATTCCTAGCTGGAGAGTTCCAAAGCTTGCCTGCAGGGTTTAGACTAATCTAATGTGAAGTCTCTAAAATAGGTCTGTTTGTTGTTGTAAGGATTAAAGGTGATAAAGGAGTCCCAATGTCAGTGAAGGTTGAAGTTTATAGGAAAGCTAAAAATGCATACAACGGGGCTCCCTCATGTGATGATCATATTATCAGAACCATGTCAGCTCAAGAGATGGGGTCTAAGAAGTGCAGCTATGCCATCCAGGTACTAGGACATCATCTTTGAAATCTTAGGCCAGCCAGTGGTATAGTGGTTAAGGCAGCTGGATCCCATATAGCCCACTGTGTGGTTCAAGTCCCAGATCCAGTGACTGAAAAACTTGCTGGATATGTGTGCATACTTGCTCAAAATCCTGAGAGGAGAATGGGGGTGAAGGGATTAGAGAGTGGCCATCCCACCAGGGGATCATTTCTTACTTTCCCTTTCTCTGTCTCTCTCTGGCAAGTACATGTGTCCTATAGCAAATTTTTAAAAAATTAAAATAAAAAAGAGACCAAGAAATCTGTGCTATCTCAGAGAATTCCATGAGTGATGGTTAATATCACATACAGTTTTCAGTGTGAGGATTTTGGGAGGTGACTCAGACAAGAATCTTGAGTTGGACAACAGTGGCATGTTACTTTCTTAAGGATGCAATACAGTTACTCTTCACTCAAATCTGAGTTCCATTCCTATGACTTAGGTCATTAAGTGAATTAATTTATAAGCCAGGAACTTAAATGCAGATGTCATGGTCTAGATTCTTCAATGGATACCACAAGACACCACACTAGAATAATGTAATTCTATCCATACGAAAAGCATACATTAGATAAGTGCCAGAAAGTGACAAAACACACCACAACACAATAATATAAATTCTGTGTAATTGTTTCTATTTCTTCTGAATACTATGATGGGATATAAAAATATGTAGTATTGTGTGATTGCAAATTAATTCATACAGTAAATACTAATGAACTGCAGGAACTAGACAAAGACTGAGAAATGGGATTCGCGAGACTCACACAGACTGAGAAAGGGGACTTCCCACTGAAAACTGGCCCTAAGTCTAATCATTAACCAGGTAGGTCATTAAGTGAGGAGTGGTACACAAATCATTCATTAGGCTTGACAAAAATGAGAAGAAAAAAACGTTGAAGAAGCATTTCAATCTGTTGACTCACTCATTGAAGGTGAATTCTTCAGTCCCTTTAAAATTTTTTTATTTTACATCCATTCACTGTATATCATTGCAGCATACAAAATGAATTTTTCCAGAATACATTGCATATTGACTCAAAGATATTACCATAACTATTATCTTCAACAGATAATTTTCTATTTTGTGTTTCTTAAATGTTTTACTCCCCACCTCCCGTTGATTTCTTCTCTCTCACTCTCTGTCATTTCCCACTCTCTTCCCACACTATCTATGAAAGAGAGGCATTGTATGTCTTCAGTCCCTCTTCATCTTGGGAGTTTTTAATACATTGATGCTATTTTAATGGATGATGTTGTATCTTAATTCTTCTCACGGAGTTATTGAAAAGATGATTCCAAACATCAGACTCAGAGAGGAGAGGGAAGTTTTGTGAAGAACCTTGACTCCTTGGCCAAAAACTTTGTACTAGTGCCATAGATAATGGAAGGCATTTCAGATTTGAAGTAGGAAAGGTGACAGGATCAAAGATGCTCTTTAGCACAACTGGCAATGCAGTTAGGATTAAAATGGAAAGAGAGCAAAGTCGAAGGTCATTACAGAAATGCCAGGTGAGAGATGACGACTGGTACCCATAGTGTAGGGAGGAGAAGGAAGGTGTAACGGTAATTTCAGCACTGACTTGGTATAAAAAGCAAATGAGAATCAAAGAAGACTCTGAAATTAGAAACTTGTTGACAAGGGAAAGGTGGTATTGTGGTAGGCAGTTAGCTAGTAATGAGCGGAAAGCCCTGAGAGAATAGTAGAAGGACCCATGTCACATCAATCACAATTTATCAGGAGTTACAACCAGACCCTCCATGAATGCCTTCTCACCCAGCTCCCAGCACTGCAAAGGCGAGGCAAATACCATTTTTCTTCCTTGGAACCTGAGGAAGACACATAGGAATGATTGTAAATTTCCCTCTTATCATTTCTCATAAATACAAACAGTCCCAACCAGACATTTTAGTCAACATCCTGATTCCCACTGGGGCAATAAACTAATTGGGCAGTCTATCCTAATTAGGATGCGTCTATCATCATGGCTGACCTTGAGCATGCGCAGTTAGGTATCAAATTCCTCAAATTCTTCACCTGTGAGATAGTTGCCTACGCACAGGAAAAAGCCCACAAATTCAAACAAAGGACATAGATAATATGACAAATCTCCCACTTTTAAATATTCATTATCATCTCTGATAATAAAAATAACACCTATCCAGTTCCAAACACAGTTGCTACCTAGCAACCTGCCCGCCCAAGATCTTTTGGGTGTACTTCTTTTCTAAAATCTTTCTTTCCTATTAAATTCTCTTTTCTACCTACTTTTATTGTAATTGTGGTTTTATTTTGTGCCTAGCAACAGGTCTCTAATTTTAGTGATCTGGACCAAAGAACCAAGGATTTTACACAATGCAGCTCAACACTTTCCCATTCTATGACAGTGTCATTAATAACATGGAGGACATTGTAAGCTGTTTGGAAGAAGGCAGAAGATGAGGGGTTAAGTGCCTAGCATGCATTCACTGGGTACTGTCAGAAAGAAATTTTGATGCTTTGAGAAATGCTGGGGCTGAAGATGTGAATTTGGGAGAAGCTATGGGAGTGAATGAAGTCTCCAAAGGAAGGAATAATATCTAAAAACATACTTTGTTTATTTTATTGTCAGAGGGAACATGCACTCACCAGAGAGAGAGAGATCAAGCACCCTCTAGTGGGGCATGATCATGACACAATCCTTTTTCCTCACTATCCAGTCAGAATTTGGGGCACACACACACATGTGCCCAGCGTGTTTTCAAGCCAAGACCAGAATGTGAACCACAGCCAGGCATGTGAGGTCTGGCTCCCAATGTATAGTGCATAACTACTGTGCTTGGGGCTGGTTCTCTAAAAATAAATTTTAAATATATATACTTCTCAACTAATTCCAGAGATTTCGATGTGACTTTCAAATAAAAAAGACAAGTATTCTAAGACTGAAATTGGAAATAAAGAGCAAAGAGAGAAGAGACGTTGAAACTGAAAAAAAAAATTTAGACAAATTAAATTAAACACAGTTTAACTGAGCGAAGATTGATTTTCCAATCCAACTGGCAGCCCTCAGAACCAGAAACGGTTCAGAGAGCTCTGCTTGCAGTGTGGGCAGGAGGGATTTCAGTACAGAAACAGCTTGATTGGTTAAAGTTTAGCACTTGCCTTATTGGGACACAGTGTGATAGAACATTTGCTTTATTTGGACCTAGTCTGATCAGCAGGCAACCTGTGATTGGCTGAAGCATGGTTAGTGATTGATTATGATTAGCTGTGGCTCAGCTAGTTAATAATACCAAAAAAAAAAAAAAAAACCTCTTAAATTAGGCCTTTGGTTGCTTACATACTAAGTTTGGTTGCAGTTTATTATATAGGAACTCAAAGTACAGAGGCATCTTCAAGTCCAAGTTAGTTTAATTTAACAGTACCACGGTTGATTAATGAGAATTACAGCTACCAAATGCATGACAGGAAAAGGGGAATGGGAGAGCCAGAGATGGCCGGAGATTGAGAAAGCCTGAAGATAGACTCCTTAACCACACGTTCAGTTGGAGTTGTTATTGAATTCTCAGATTTCTATCACCTACAAAACTAAAATTCGATGAACCTACTAATTCCAAGATGTCATCTTGGGTACTCAAGGGATATGAAATCAAAGACTGCCTATGTAGGTATTTTATACCAAGTTGATTTGAAATGTGTGTTTATGAAATACTCCCTAAATGCTTTATCAAGTCTTTCCAATTGCCCTAATTCTTTTCTGCATCATGTCGCGCTTCTCAAATGCAAACAGATTTTTTAAAAAAAATACCTATGATTAATCATAAATTTCACCTACAGTGAAATTTTGAGGGCAAAAAAGAATTTTGCTTCTCCATTCCTGCCTTCACATACACCTATTATTCTTAGTTCAGGTCCCAGGGGTTTTAATGAAATCTCTTTCAACTCAGTAGGTGCTGAGTTGTGGTTTTGGGTTTAATCTTTCTCACCAATAGATGAAAAGAATATATCGTTGATTGGGTGTCACTGCAGAGGTACAAGTTTCTATATGCATGGAAAGTCAACCTTACCTCCAGGCAGTTTCATTAGAGAAATGGATTTGCCCTTAGGCAAAAATGTCTCATTCTTATTTGATGATTGAGTTGTTGCTCAAGTCAATAATAATTTCTAGTTCTTGAGAACACACTGAGTGGGTGGGTAGGGAAATGGGGCCTACCGCTCAGGAGAATTTTTAATTGCATATAATTATTAAATTATTTATGTATAATAATAGCTGCCTGAGAAAACTCAACCAAATTGATTCTTTGACATCAAGACAGGAAACCTAATGTCATTATGACCTGGAAGAAAATAGTACTAATGGACTACATTTTTTTTCAAGTACACTTAAATTAAGTATCTCAGAAAAAAATACCAGCCTCATCTGCTTGTCATGTTCAAAAGGGAAAGTGCATTTTGGAGGACAAGAACATTTTTATATGGAAATTCAAAGTGTACATGAGCTAAGGGCTCTAGTTAAGTTTTAAGTCCTAATGGAGCCAGCTCTTTGTTAAAATGTAGCCACTGTGACTCCATCTTGGATTATGTTCCATCTACTTCCTGTCTCACTTGGGTCATGGATGATGGAGTCTAAAACTCTAACAAGTGGTATTCTTAATCCTCTCCCACTCTCCACCACCACTTTCTGCAGAAAATCCTCTCAATTGCCTCTTAATTTTTTTTAAACTAAAGCCACTATTACAGTTCTTTCTTATTTTTAATTATGTAATTTTTTTATTTTGGTAATTTTCAACCACTAAGGAAAATGAGCACTGATAAAAGAGGGTAGAAGAGAGAAAAAAATATGTAGCAAAATAGTAACAATTCTTGAATTTACTCGTGAATGATAAAAAGTCTTCAAAATAAAAAATTTAAATTTAAAAACATAAGAAAGTAAAATATGTTAAATACGCACATGTATAATACATTTCTACAATTACAATCATCCTTAGGAAATACGTAAAACCACATATTGCATATATGAATCATATTCAAATTTCCCTAAGTGACTTCATAATGTCCTGGGTTTTATTTTTATATATATATATTTTTTTCTGGTCCAAAATTAAAGCCTGGATAATGCATTTCTTATCTCCTTAATCTCCTGTTTTTAAGACTACTTTTTTTCCATGGCATAGGTTTTTTTGTTTGTTTGTTTTTTGTTTTTTTTTTCCATAGGGGGCATGTACTCACAGGGGGAGAGAGAAAAAGGGAACGTGAGAGAGCACCCTCTCCCCATGAGAGATTGTCATACTGTAATCTCTGTTCCTCCATTTCTTCCTTGTTTTGGAACTTTGGGCACACATACACATGTGCCCAATATGTTTTTCTTTCTTTCTTTAAATAATTATTTATTTAATTTCATTTGTTATTATTATTTTTTCAATTTCACCAGAGAAAGACAGAAAGAGAGAAAGAGAAAGTGAGGAAGCAAGCCACTAGGTCTGGGACTTGAACCATGGTCAGTCGTGTGGGAATTCAGTGCCTTTAACTACTGCACCATCTGCCAGCTCTGCCCAGTGTGTTTTTTTAAGCTCTCAAGTCCAGGTACCGCAACATCTGCCAGTGTGTTTTTTTAAGCTCTCAAGTCCAGGAGTCAAACCATGCAGTCAGCCAGGAGGAATCCAGCCCCCTTAACCAGGCAGGCCATGCACTGGCTCCATGGCATAGATATTTTTTAAGTACTAGGATAGCTATTTAACAGAAGCTCTCTAAATTTGTATATTTTTCTTTCTTTCTTTTTATTTTTTTGAGAAGTTTTTGCTATAGGGTGTGTATGCTTGCCAGAAGACAGAGAGCCAGAAAGCAAGAAATCCCCCCCCCATGAGGGAGGGCCATGCCACAATCCCTTCTCCTCCATTCTCCTCTTGGGGTCTTGGGCACGCACACACACGTGCCCAGTGTGAGTTTAAGGCACCGGGTCCAGGACTTGAACCACAGTCAACTATATGGGAGTCCAGCCACATAGCCATTATTCCAACTGCTGGTCCCCTGATTATTTCTTCTAACTTGATTATACAGTCTATTTTTACTATTTGGCACTCTTATGTAAGGAGCTTAAATTTATTTTGCCTCTATATGGATTCATAGATTCTTTTTAAATCAATGTGTCAAAATTCATTTAGCCATTATGATTTTTGATGCCCAAATTGTCCCAAATTTGGCCAACAGGGACATCTCCAAGCTGGCTTCTTCAGTCTTTTGATCCATCAGCTTTAGACATGTTCTTATTTTCTGGCTCAATGAGAGGCTTCGGGCTTACTTTGTCTTTTCTTTGCTCCAGACCTGGAATTGTCCTTACTCCAAGGAACCCTGGTTACTTCTCATTGGAAACGGTGTTTGGAAACCCAGTCTGGTGCTTGTGTTCATTGTTTCTGAGGTGTTGTTACTCTTAGGCTCTTTCAGTGGACAGAGCTAGAAAGAAAAAAAGAAACAAATATATCTATGAAGAAAGATGAGATGGCTCCATGGTGCAGCGGTAATATACTGCTAAGAGAAGTTAGATTCCCCTTGGTGACCACAGTTCAAATCACCAGCCTGATCAACTTGAAATACACCAAGCATGCTCAGAATCCCAAAAGAAGGGATGGAGGAAAAGGGGTTGCAGCATGACTGTTCCCCATAGAGAGGAGAATATGCTTTCACACCTTTTTTTTCTCTCTCTCTCAAGTGAGCACACACAGACATTTTTTAAAAAGGAGGTAAAAAAAGAGGGGGTTAGCCAGTGGCATTGTGGTTAAGGCAGTTAAATCCTACATGGTTAAGTGTGTGATACAACTCCCTGACCCAGTAGCTTCAAAAACACATCAGGTGCATGTCCATGTATATCCAAAATCCCAAAAGAAGAAATGGAGGAGAAGGGATTGTGGGGGGATTTGTGTGACACCACAATCCCTTCTCCTCCATCTCTCCCTCCTTTGGAGATCCTGGGCATGCTTGGTGTATTTCAAATTGACCAGGCTGGGCATTTGAACTGTGGTCACCAGATGGGATCTCACTTCTCTTGAGCAATACATTCCTGC